TTTTCTTCTGCAGCTTCCTCTCTCAGCCTTGACAGAACTGAGTTAGAGACTTGCCCTGGATTAGACTTTGACTTAAGAGAATATTGCGGCTTGTTTGATCTTCTATCCATAGCACTCAGATTTTCTTCATATCAGCAATAAGGCTGTTTTTCTTTCTTATCAGGTGATAAGAATGTGTCTGCTGGAATAGCAGCAGATTTAATTTCTTTCAAGTTTTTTTATTTTTGCAGTTTCAACTTGGATAACTGCTTGATGCAAGAGACCTAGCTTTTGCATATCTTTCTCATAAGCTTAATTATTTCTAACTTTTGATTTCTAGCTTTGGATTCAAAGTGAGAGATATGAAACTCTTCCTTTCACTTGAATACTTAGATGCCATTGTGGGGTTATTAATTGGCCTGATTTTAATATTGCTAAGTCTCAATGAACAGAGAGGCCTGAGGAAAGGGAAAGAGAGGAATGGCTGCTTAGTGAGAGCATACACAATTTCTATTACGTTCTCTGTCTTGTATGAGTATGGTTCATGGTGCCCCAAAACAGTTATAATAGTAACATCAGAGATCACTGATCACAGATCACAATAACAAATGTAATAATAATAATAAATTATAAGTTTGAAATATTGGGATAATTACCAAAATATGACACAGAGACACCAAGTGAGCACATGCTGTCTGAAAAATGTCACCAATAGACTTGCTCAATGCAGGATTGCCACAAACTGTAAGTTCGACTGGGCTCGGTGGCTCAGCCTGTAATCCCAGCACTTTGGGAGGCCAAGGTGAGTGGATTGCCTGAGCCCGCGGGTTCGAGACCCGCCTGGGCAACTTGACAAGACCTCATCTCTACAATAAATCAAAAAATCAGCCAGGCGTGGTAGCACATGCCTGTAGTTCCAGCTACTCGGAAGGCTGAGGCGGAAGGATCGCTGGAGCCCAGCAGGTTGAGGCTGCGGTGGCCAGGAGCGGCCATTGCACCCCAGTCTGGGTGACAGAGTGAGACTCCAACTCAAAAACAAAAAAACAAAACAACAACAACAAAAAAAAACTTTAAGTTTGTAAAAAACACGATATCTGTAAAGCACAATCAAGCAAAACCCAATAAAACACATTGTACTTGTACATGTATGCATTGTGAAATAGCTAAATCAAGCTAATTAATGTTTACATTATCTCATAAAATTATTTTCTTTGTTAGACCACTTACAAGTTATTTTATTAGTGATTTTCTCTTATACGATACATTGCTATTAACTCTAGTCACCATGATGTACAGTAGATCTCTTCGACTTATTCCTTCCTCCAACCCCAGCCTCTGGTAACCACCATTCTACTTCTTGCTTCTATGAGTTTAATATTTTTAGATTCCACATATAGGTGAGAACATATGGTATTTCTCTTTTTGTGCCTGGCTTATTTCACTTAATGTAATTGTTGCTTTACTGAGTCAACTTTGATATGTTGGGACTTTATCTCTCAGAAATTATATGATTCAAGATGAGAGTTGGCCAAAAGAGAATTTGCATGAAATTTGGAAGGCAGAAGTAAACCAACAGCAAAAGATGCTGAACTGTCTGAAGATGAGGTAATAGAAAGCAGTAGGAGACAGACACAGAAGGGCTGGCTTCCTTCTTCTCGACTCCATGACTGGCTCTTCTTCCTGAATGCTGGACCTTGCTGACCAGCAGTGGCCCCAGGCCCACCAGAAGACTTTTGGTAACAAACGCACAAAGGTTTTGCTATGCAAAGGCAATGGTCTTCCAGAGACTTCTACAGCGACCCCTTTCACGGTCCCATTCCAGTTCCTGGATATGCCTAGACACCAACATCAGACATCCAACACTAACTCCAGTGCTTTAGATAGTCTTGTTAGATTTTTTAAAATTTCTCCAGTCTTTTTTCTTCAGTGCTTTAATTCCCAACCCTAATTCTTATAATAAATAAATTTCCTACTCTGTAATAGTCATAGTGGCTCTGTTTCCCTGATGAAAGCCTGACCAATACAAATACTGGTTGTTTTGGTAATCTAATGCTGTGGACCAAACCATCCCAAAGCTTAGTAGTCTAAGCCAATAATCATTTTATCTTCTCCATAATTTCATTAGTTGTCTGGGCTTAAATAGGAGATTCTTTTGCTGGTTAGCCTTGGAGTCTGGAGACTGTAAATGGAATCATCTAGCAGCTTGAGTGAGAAGCAGGGATAGTTGGTCCTCTTCATTCTTCATGTGGTCTTAGATCCCCTCCAGTGCTCTATCCATTAGCATAGCTGAATTATGACATGATAGGTCAGTGTTCCCAAGAATACTAAAGTGGAGACATCTATCATTTATTCTATATTGTGTTAGTTAAAGCAAATCATTTAATCAGCCCAGACTCGATGTGAGAAGAGACTATACAAGGCACAAATAATGGGTGTTACAGATCTTTGGGAGCTATTTTGGAGACTAGTCACCATACCTTTTTGTTTGGCTGCAGTCGGCCTGGATTGCTTCATTGTCCTTTGAGCTGAACTCTTCTTAGTCCTATTTCACACTGCTGTGAGTTCTCATGAGACACCGTGGTTTGGGTCATTTATGCATGCCCGGCTGGGACACTCTGGCCTGTGACATTGGCCACCTCCGGGGCATGAATAGAAGCATGGGAAGGCAGTTTCCTCAGTCCTAGCTGAGGAACAGAGACTGTGAATGCATACTACTTCCTTGTGCTATTGTTTGGGTGGACCCCGGGGGTAGGAGTTTAGCTTGAGACACTGTAGACTGCCCACATCTAGGTGCAGAATCAACTTGCATAGCTGTTGGTACCGGCTTTTTTAATTCAGGAAATCTGCAGACACTTGTGTCTCTGAGGTTTGTCCAGGATCTGTCCTTTCCGACGTAGGGCTGCCTCTCTTCTTTATAGGGACAGCTTAGATTTATTTTCTGTTGCTATATTCCCTGCCAGAGGCAATAAGCCTAAACTTTCCTTCCTAAACTTGATACTGTGCCAGCTGGCTGTAACAGGTGGCCCCACAGAGACTCCAATATTGCAGGTACTACTGTAAGTTATTCCTGGACTACAGACAGGGCTGGGCTTTGTAGGCATGGGATCTGTGCACTTGCTTAGAGCTCTGTGCTTAGAAGGACTCTGAACTTGGTTTAACATTTTGTTGTTGGCATCTTGAAATTTTGAAATTCTTGTTCATTTTTAAACAAGGGCCTCTTTCATTTTGCTGTGGGCAACTTAAATTATAAAGCTTGTACTGATTACACCTATAGTGACCCTTTAGATACTTTTCTAATTCTTACAAATTCACAATTAGCTACTTGACAGACCTGGGAATAGAACTAGGTCAGGGCCTGACCTGGGAGGGGAGAGCCCACTACCGGGAACCACCTGCGCCTACTTATTGTACTGGAACACCTGAGAGGGAAATAATCAGGTTGGTAGTCTTGACCTCCAGAGGGTGGATGGGTGGGAAACACATAAAGAAAGCGTGACTGTTTTGTAACATTTCTGTGGCCAATACGGAATTTCAGGCCTTCATTCCCTCTTGGTAAAAGACCAGATTTCTACACTTACCTTTTCCTACATTTTCTCCATGTCAACCTGTACATCCCTTGCTGTGAGTACTGGCTGAACAGGTGCCAGGCAACTAGAGAAGCTAACAGAGCCAAGAGGCCTTCTGTCCCCAAAGCCCTAGAGCAGAGCTCATTTTCCTCTGAATGCTGTGAGAACAAATCAAACCTTCCAGGTAATCACAGCCTGGGAGTCACTAGCATATTGATTAATGAAACTGGTTAAAGAGAAAATGTTTGTTGAATAGAGCAGGTTCATGTGGTAAACCATAGCCAGATCAGATCATCCAGAGGCCTTAATGATGTAAATAAAATGAAACACGGAGCATGTAACTATGGGAAAGATGGTGCAGAAAGTATCTCCCCTCATGGGAGTAGGTGGATTTTGAGTCCAAGTGTACAAGCATGTTGTTTCCGTGTTCTTCCAACCGGTGGTTTTCCTACTTTGCACGGGGAGTTTTATTACCATAATTCATTCTTATCTCATGTAACTTTGGTGGGACTTATTTGCTGTTTCAGAAGTAAACTAAGATGAAAGCTGTGTAAGCCGAGTCCAGGGGTCACTTTTAACCATCTTCAAACATAGATCAGACTTTTTGATCTGGCATAATCGATTTGGTGTGATTAACAAGGTTGACAAAAGGGGCCGTGTAGTTTACAGTGGAAGTGGACAAGGAGCAAGGGAAGGGGGAATATGCAGGAGATTAAGTAAAATGTTGTTTTAAAAATACTTGGTTTAGCCGGACTCAGTGGCTCAGCCTGTAATCCTGCACTTTGGGAGGCTGAGGTGAGTGGATTGCCTGAG